TAGCACTGGGGGAGAGACAAAGGCGGCGGCGCGTGGTGCTGGCCACCCACCCCCTCGTGTGCCACAGTGCCGGGAGCCTTCATAGGTGCTAACAGCACTTGCCCCTACAGCCCTGTTAGAGGCTACCTGGGGGATCTTTGTCTGTATAGGTGCTGCTGCTACTCGCTACTAACAGCACTTGCCCCTACAGCCCTGTTAGAGGCTACCTGGGGGAGCTTTGTGTGTGTCCTGTAGTAAACAACACCCCTGGGGAAAGACAAAGGCGGCCGGGCGTGGTGTGTGGTGATCATCCAGCAGTGGATGGAGCCCGTGAAACAAGAAGCGTGGGGGGGGGAATGAACGTTTATTGTTTATTTATCAACGTTCACAATCACTGTGTGTACACTGTGTGTGTGTACACTGTGTGTACACTGTGTGTGTGTGCACTGTGTGTGTACACTGTGTGTGTGCACTGTGTGTGTGTACACTGTGTGTGTACACTGTGTGTGTGTACTCTGTGTGTGTGAACACTGTGTGTGTGTGTCACACTGTGTGTGTGTGTACACTGTGTGTGTGTACACTGTGTGAACGCCGTGTGTACTGTGTGAACACTGTGTTTACTGCCTTATCAGCATTTGCCCCAAAAGTGTTCAAGGATATAGGGGAATGTGTTTACACGATGTGTGTGTGTTTGATGGGTGTGTGTGGGTGAGTGTGTGGGTGAGTGAGTGACACGGGCTAGAGAAGAGATGGAGTGAAGGGTGAGTGGGTGAGTGAGTGGCATGGGCTAGAGAAGAGATGGAGTGATGGGTGAGTGGGTGAGTGGCACGGGCTAGAGAAGAGATGGAGTGATGTGGTACAGGAGGACGTGGAGCTGAGTGGACTTGCCGATGACTGGTACCAGCGGTGTCAAGATCGGCCTCTGTGGAGGAGGCTCGTGAAGGATGCTACTGGGCAGTTGGAGGCAGTCGCCCTCCAACAACAACGGAGGGCGGAGGAGCGACGCTCACAACAACGAGCGGAGCGCCGGGTGGCTAAAGCACAGCAGGTTGGCACAGTAGGGGGCACAGTTGGTGCATCAGCCAGTCATCTCAGTCAGTCGACCCGTGGCACCTGGGTCTGCCCCGTGACCTGCCAGCGGGCGTTCGACACTTCACGTGGCCTCAGGGTGCACATGGCCTGGCACAAGCGTCGTGGTGACGTCACCGCCACTTAGTGGCGAATGGCGGTTATTGTTGATGGTGGTGGTGATGGTGGTGATGGTGGTGGTGGTGATGGTAGTGGTGGTGGTGATGGTGGTGGTGATGGTGATGGTGGTGATGATGGTGGTGGTGGTGATTGTGGTGGTGATTGTGGTGGTGATGATTGTGGTGGTGGTGATGGTGGTGATGGTGGTGGTGATGGTGGTGGTGATGGTGGTGGTGATGATGGTGGTGGTGATGATTGTGGTGGTGGTGATGATTGTGGTGGTGATGATGATGGTGGTGGTGGTGATGATGGTGGTGATGATGGTGATGATGGTGGTGGTGATGATTGTGGTGATGATGATGGTGGTGATTGTGGTGGTCATCACCCACTCCCTCACCACATCCTCACCACTCCATCACCCTCACCACCCTCTCACCACCCCCTCACCCTCCTAGCTAGACCAGCACGCTAGTAGTCGAACTGGTAGGTGAATTTCTTCTTCACTTTGCCATAGTTTCTGAGAGCCCGTGCCATCTTCTGATACAGTGAGGGGATAAAAAAGTATTTGATCCCCTGCTGATTTTGTACGTTTGCCCACTGACAAAGAAATGATCAGTCTATAATGTTAATGGTAGATTTATTTGAACAGTGAGAGACAGAATAACAACAACAAAAATCCAGAAAAACGCATGTCAAAAATGTTATAAATTGATTTGCATTTTAAGAAGGGAAATAAGTATTTGACCCCCTCTCAATCAGAAATATTTCTGGCTCCCAGGTGTCTTTTATACAGGTAACGAGCTGAGATTAGGAGCACACTCTTAAAGGGAGTGCTCCTAATCTCAGCTTGTTACCCGTATTAAAGACACCTGTCCACAGAAGCAATCAATCAATCAGATTCCAAACTCTCCACCATGGCCAAGACCAAAGAGCTCTCCAAGGGTGTCAGGGACAAGATTGTAAACCTACACAAGGCTGGAATGGGCTACAAGACCATTGCCAAGCAGCTTGGTGAGAAGGTGACAACAGTTGGTGCGATTATTCGCAAATGGAAGAAACACAAAAGAACTGTCAATCTCTCTCGGCCTGGGGCTCCATGCAAGATCTCACCTCGTGGAGTTGCAATGATCATGAGAACGGTGAGGAATCAGCCCAGAACTACACGGGAGGATCTTGTCAATGATCTCAAGGCAGCTGGGACCATAGTCACCAAGAAAACAACTGGTAACACACTACGCCGTGAAGGACTGAAATCCTGCAGCGCCCGCAAGGTCCCCCTGCTCAAGAAAGCACATGTACATGCCCGTCTGAAGTTTTCAAATGAACATCTGAATGATTCAGAGGACAACTGGGTGAAAGTGTTGTGGTCAGATGAGACCAAAATGGAGCGCTTTGGCATCAACTCAACTCGCCGTGTTTGGAGGAGGAGGAATGCTGCCTATGACCCCAAGAACACCATCCCCACCGTCAAACATGGAGGTGGAAACATTATGCTTTGGGGGTGTTTTTCTGCTAGGGGGACAGGACAACTTCACCGCATCAAAGGGACGATGGACGGGGCCATGTACCGTCAAATCTTGGGTGAGAACCTCCTTCCCTCGGCCAGGGCATTGAAAATGGGTCGTGGATGGGTATTCCAGCATGACAATGACCCAAAATACACGGCCAAGGCAACAAAGGAGTGGCTCAAGAAGAACCACATTAAGGTCCTGGAGTGGCCTAGCCAGTCTCCAGACCTTAATCCCATAGAAAATCTGTGGAGGGAGCTGAAGGTTCGAGTTGCCAAACGTCAGCCTCGAAACCTTAATGACTTGGAGAAGATCTGCAAAGAGGAGTGGGACAAAATCCCTCCTGAGATGTGTGCAAACCTGGTGGCCAACTACAAGAAACGTCTGACCTCTGTGATTGCCAATAAGGGTTTTGTCACCAAGTACTAAGTCATGTTTTGCAGAGGGGTCAAATACTTATTTCCCTCGTTAAAATGCAAATCAATTTATAACATTTTTGACATGCGTTTTTCTGGATTTTTTTGTTGTTATTCTGTCTCTCACTGTTCAAATAAACCTACCATTAAAATTATAGACTGATCATTTCTTTGTCAGTGGGCAAACGTACAAAATCAGCAGGGGATCAAATACTTTTTTACCTCACTGTAGGTGACGATCCTCACCCTCTCACTCACCCTCTCACTTACCACCCACTCACCCTCTCACTCACCACCCACTGCCTCACCCTCTCACTCACCACCCACTCCCTCACCCTCACCCTCACCACCCACTCACCCTCTCACTCACCACCCACTCCCTCACCCTCTCACTCACCACCCACTCCCTCACCCTCACCACCCACTCCCTCACCCTCTCACTCACCACCCACTCCCTCACCCTCACCACCCACTCCCTCACCCTCTCACTCACCACCCACTCCCTCACCCTCTCACTCACCACCCCCTCCCTCACCCTCAGCACCCACTCCCTCACCCTCTCACTCACCACCCACTCCCTCACCCTCACCACCCTCACCCTCACCACCACTCACCACCCCCACCGGCTAGACCAGCACGCTGGAGTCGAACTGGTAGGTGAGTTCCTTCTTCACCTTGCGAATCTCCCCGCTGCGCCCGTAGTTTCTGAGAGCACGTGCCATCTCCTGGTAGGTGACGACCCTCACCCCTCACCCTCACCCTCACCCCTCACCCTCACCACCACCCCTGGCTAGACCAGCACGCTAGAGTCGAACTGGTAGGTGAGTTTCTTCTTTATCTTACGAATTTCTCCGCTGCGCCCGTAGTTTCTGAGAGCACGTGCCATCTCCTGGTAGGTGACGACCCTCACCCACTCCCTCACCCCTCACCACTCACCACCCCTCACCACTCACCACCCCTGGCTAGACCAGCACGCTAGAGTCGAACTGGTAGGTGAGTTCCTTCTTCACCTTGCGAATCTCTCCGCTGCGCCCGTAGTTTCTGAGAGCACGTGCCATCTCCTGGTAGGTGACGACCCTCACCCACTCCCTCACCCCTCACCACTCACCACCCCTCACCACTCACCACCCCTGGCTAGACCAGCACGCTAGAGTCGAACTGGTAGGTGAGTTCCTTCTTCACCTTGCGAATCTCTCCGCTGCGCCCGTAGTTTCTGAGAGCACGTGCCATCTCCTGGTAGGTGAGGACCCTCACCCACTCCCTCACCCCTCACCCTCACCCCTCACCCTCACCACTCACCCACCCTGGCTAGACCAGTACGCTAGAGTCGAACTGGTAGGTGAGTTCCTTCTTCACCTTGCGAATTTCTCCGCTGCGCCCGTAGTTTCTGAGAGCACGTGCCATCTCCTGGTAGGTGACGACCCTCACCCTCACCCCTCACCCTCACCCTCACCACTCACCACTCACCACCCCCACCGGCTAGACCAGCACGCTGGAGTCGAACTGGTAGGTGAGTTTCTTCTTCACTTTACGAATCTCCCCGCTGCGCCCGTAGTTTCTGAGAGCACGTGCCATCTTCTGGTAGGTGACGACCCTCACCCACTCCCTCACCACTCACCACCCCTCACCACTCACCACCCTGGCTAGACCAGCACGCTAGAGTCGAACTGGTAGGTGAGTTCCTTCTTCACCTTGCGAATCTCCCCGCTGCGCCCGTAGTTTCTGAGAGCACGTGCCATCTCCTGGTAGGTGACGACCCTCACCCACTCCCTCACCCCTCACCACTCACCACCCCTCACCACTCACCCACCCTGGCTAGACCAGCACGCTAGAGTCGAACTGGTAGGTGAGTTTCTTCTTCACTTTACGGATCTCCCCGCTGCGCCCGTAGTTTCTGAGAGCACGTGCCATCTTCTGGTAGGTGACGACCCTCACCCACTCCCTCACCCCTCACCCTCACCCCTCACCCTCACCACTCACCACCCACCCTGGCTAGACCAGCACGCTAGAGTCGAACTGGTAGGTGAGTTTCTTCTTCACTTTACGGATCTCCCCGCTGCGCCCGTAGTTTCTGAGAGCACGTGCCATCTTCTGGTAGGTCATCGCCTTGCGATTTCCCTTTCGCTGTCCCCACGAACGTGCGAGCTCCTCCTTGTGTCGCGACGAGAACTGGAAGACGCCGTCACGCTCGCTCACCTGGTGAGGAGGGAGGGAGGGAGGGGGGGTGGTGAGTGGAGGGGAGGGGAGGTGGTGGTGGTGAGTAATGGGGGGTGTGGTGGGAGAGATGAGAGAGAGAATGGCTGATGTGACCTCACGTTCAAGCTCGCTCACCTGGTGAGGGGTGAGGGAGGGTGGGTGAGGTGAGGGTGGTGAGTGAGAGGGTGGTGAGTGAGAGGGTGGTGAGTGAGAGACACCCAATCTCGCATTCGTAACCTATCCCAAACCCCTCCCTGCACAGGACTCAATAGCTCACTCACCTGGTGAGCGTGGCGAGTGAGAGACACTCAGAGACCCACACACTCATTCGTTTGCTCACCTGGTGAGGAAGGGTGAGTGAGGCGGTCAAGGTGAGAGGGACATGGGTGAGTGAGTTGGTAGGTGGGTGTCTCTATGTATTAGTCTGCTGTTGCTGTGTAGCTGTGTAGCCTAGGGGCACCCCCAGTGACAGCTGTCTCTGTGTATTAGTCTGCTTAAACACTCGCGCGTAGGTTCACTCACCCATAGGGTCACTCACCCAGACACTCACTCATAGGGTCACTCAATCGCAGGGTCACTCACCCAGACACTCACCCATAGGGTCACTCACCCAGACACTCAGTCATAGGGTCACTCAATCGCAGGGTCACTCACCCAGACACTCACCCAGACACTCACCCATAGGGTCACGCACTCGCAGGTTCACTCACCCGCAGGGTCACTCACTCGCAGGGTCACTCACCCAGACACTCACCTGAAGGGTCACTCACCCGCAGGGTCACTCACCCAGACACTCACCCATAGGGTCACCTATAGGATCACTCACCCACAGGGTCACTCACCCAGACACTCACCCATAGGGTCACTCACCCGTAGGGTCACTCACTCGTAGGGTCACTCACCCAGACACTCACTCGTAGGGTCACTCACTCGCAGGGTCACTCACCCAGACACTCACCCAGACACTCACCAGTAGGGTCACTCACCCAGACACTCACCCCGTAGGGTCAATCACTCGCAGGGTCACTCACCCAGACACTCACCCAGACACTCACCAGTAGGGTCACTCACCCAGACACTCACCCAGTAGGGTCACTCACTCGCAGGGTCACTCACCCAGACACTCACCCCGTAGGGTCACTCACCCGTAGGGTCACTCACCCAGACACTCACCCGTAGGGTCACTCACCCAGACACTCACCCGTAGGGTCACTCACCCAGACACTCACCCGCAGCGACACTCACTCGCAGGGTCACTCACCCAGACACTCACCCGTAGGGTCACTCACCCAGACACTCACCCGTAGGGTCACTCACTCGAAGGGTCACTCACCCAGACACTCACACCGTAGGGTCACTCACCCGTAGGGTCACTCACCCAGACACTCACTCGCAGGGTCACTCACCCGCAGGGTCACTCACCCGTAGGGTCACTCACCCAGACACTCACCCACAGGGTCACTCACCCGTAGGGTCACTCACACAGACACTCACCCGTAGGGTCACTCACCCAGACACTCACCCCGTAGGGTCACTCACTCGCAGGGTCACTCACCCAGACACTCACCCCGTAGGGTCACTCACTCGCAGGGTCACTCACACAGACACTCACCCCGTAGGGTCACTCACTCGCAGGGTCACTCACCCATAGGGTCACTCACCCAGACACTCACCCGCAGGGTCACTCACCCGCAGGGTCACTCACCCGTAGGGTCACTCACCCACAGGGTCACTCACCCAGACACTCACCCGCAGGGTCACTCACCCACAGGGTCACTCACCCGTAGGGTCACTCACCCACAGGGTCACTCACCCAGACACTCACCCGCAGGGTCACTCACCCGTAGGGTCACTCACCCAGACACTCACCCCGTAGGGACACTCACCCAGACACTCACCCGCAGGGTTACTCACCCGCAGGGTCACTCACCCAGACACTCACCCGCAGGGTCACTCACCCAGACACTCACCCGTAGGGACACTCACTCATAGGGTCACTCACCCGTAGGGTCACTCACCCCGTAGGGTCACTCACCCGTAGGGTCACTCACCCAGACACTCACCCGTAGGGACACTCACCCGCAGGGTCACTCACCCGTAGGGTCACTCACCCAGACACTCACCTGCAGGGTCACTCACCCAGACACTCACCCCGTAGGGTCACTCACCCGTAGGGTCACTCACCCAGACACTCACCCCGTAGGGTCACTCACCCAGACACTCACCCACAGGGTCACTCACCCGTAGGGACACTCACCCAGTAGGGACACTCACCCAGACACTCACCCGTAGGGTCACTCACCCAGACACTCACCCGAAGGGTCACTCACCCAGACACTCACCCGTAGGGTCACTCACCCAGACACTCACCCGTAGGGTCACTCACTCGCAGGGTCACTCACCCAGACACTCACTCGCAGGGTCACTCACTCGCAGGGTCACTCACCCAGACACTCACTCGCAGGGTCACTCACTCGCAGGGTCACTCACCCCGTAGGGACACTCACTCGCAGGGTCACTCACCCAGACACTCACCCAGACACTCACTCACAGGGTCACTCACTCGCAGGGTCACTCACTCGCAGGGTCACTCACCCAGACACTCACTCGCAGGGTCACTCACCCAGACACTCACCCGTAGGGTCACTCACCCGTAGGGTCACTCACCCGTAGGGTCACTCACCCAGACACTCACCCGTAGGGTCACTCACCCACAGGGTCACTCACCCAGACACTCACCCGCAGGGTCACTCACTCGCAGGGTCACTCACCCACCACAGTGCGTGCTCCATAGCGCGGTCTCTCAGCACCTCCAGGAGAAACTGGTAGAGACGAACTTTCTTCCTACCTGTACGGGGATGGGAAGGGAGACGCGGGGAGGGTGAGCAGGGAGACACGGGGAGGGGGAGGAGGGAGACGCGGGGAGGGTGGGGAGGGAGACGCGGGGAGGGTGGGGAGGGAGACGCGGGGAGGGAGAGGGAGACACGGGGAGGGGGAGGAGGGAGACGCGGGGAGGGTGGGGAGGGAGACGCGGAGATGGGGAGGAGGGAGACGCGGGGAGGGGGAGGAGGGAGACGCGGGGAGGGAGACACGGGGAGGGGGAGGAGGGAGACGCGGGGAGGGAGACACGGGGAGGGGGAGGAGGGAGACGCGGGGAGGGGGAGGGAGACGCGGGGAGGGTGGGGAGGGAGACGCGGGGATGGGGAGGAGGGAGACGCGGGGATGGGGAGGGGGGAGACGCGGGGAGGGGGAGGAGGGAGACGCGGGGAGGGTGGGGAGGGAGACGCGGGGATGGGGAGGAGGGAGACGCGGGGAGGGTGAGCAGGGAGACACGGGGAGGGGGAGGAGGGAGACGCGGGGAGGGGGAGGAGGGAGACGCGGGGAGGGGGAGGAGGGAGACGCGGAGATGGGGAGGAGGGAGACGCGGGGAGGGGGAGGAGGGAGACGCGGGGAGGGGGAGGAGGGAGACGCGGGGAGGGAGACACGGGGAGGGGGAGGAGGGAGACGCGGGGAGGGAGACACGGGGAGGGGGAGGAGAGAGACGCGGGGAGGGAGACACGGGGAGGGGGAGGAGGGAGACGCGGGGAGGGGGAGGGAGACGAGGGGAGGGTGGGGAGGGAGACGCGGGGATGGGGAGGAGGGAGACGCGGGGAGGGTGAGCAGGGAGACACGGGGAGGGGGAGGAGGGAGACGCGGGGAGGGGGAGGAGGGAGACGCGGAGATGGGGAGGAGGGAGACGCGGGGAGGGGGAGGAGGGAGACGCGGGGAGGGGGAGGAGGGAGACGCGGGGAGGGTGGGGAGGGAGACACGGGGAGGGGGAGGAGGGAGACGCGGAGATGGGGAGGAGGGAGACCCGGGGAGGGGGAGGGAGACACGGGGAGGGTGAGCAGGGAGACGTGGGGATGGGGAGGAGGGAGACGCGGGGATGGGGAGGGAGACGCGGGGAGGGTGGGGAGGGAGACGCGGGGAGGGGGAGGAGGGAGACGCGGGGAGGGGGAGGAGGGAGACACGGGGAGGGGGAGAGAGACACGGGTAGGGTGGGGAGAGAGACGCGGGGAGGGTGAGGAGGGAGACGCGGGGATGGGGAGGAGGGAGACGCGGGGATGGGGAGGAGGGAGACGCGGGGAGGGAGACACGGGGAGGGGGAGGAGGGAGACACGGGGAGGGGGAGGAGGGAGACGTGGGGAGGGGGAGGAGGGAGACGCGGGGAGGGGGAGAGAGACACGGGGAGGGGGAGGAGGGAGACGCGGGGATGGGGAGGAGGGAGACGCGGGGATGGGGAGGGAGACGCGGGGATGGGGAGAGAGACGTGGGGATGGGGAGGAAGGAGACGCGGGGATGGGGAGGAGGGAGACGCGGGGAGGGTGGGGAGGGAGACACGGGGAGGGGGAGGAGGGAGACGCGGAGATGGGGAGGAGGGAGACGCGGGGAGGGTGGTGAGGGAGACGTGGGGATGGGGAGGAGGGAGACGCGGGGATGGGGAGGAGGGAGACGCGGGGAGGGGGAGGAGGGAGACATGGGGCAGGAGCGAGTGATTGAGCGAGCTGGTGAGCGAGTGAATGAGTGGGTGAGCATGTGAGTTAGCAAGCAGGCGATTGAGTTAGCGAGCGAGCGAGTTAGCCAGTTAGCGAGCGAGCGAGTTAGCCAGTTAGCGAGCGAGTTAGCCAGTTAGCGAGCGAGTTAGCCAGTTAGCGAGCGAGCGAGTTAGCCAGTTAGCGAGCGAGTTAGCCAGTTAGCGAGCGAGCGAGTTAGCCAGTTAGCGAGCGAGTTAGCCAGTTAGCAAGCGAGTTAGCCAGTTAGTGAGCGAGTTAGCCAGTTAGCGAGCGAGCGAGTTAGCCAGTTAGCGAGCGAGTTAGCCAGTTAGCGAGTGAGTTAGCCAGTTAGTGAGCGAGTTAGCCAGTTAGCGAGCGAGCGAGTTAGCCAGTTAGCGAGCGAGTTAGCCAGTTAGCGAGCGAGTTAGCCAGTTAGCGAGCGAGTTAGCCAGTTAGCGAGCGAGTTAGCCAGTTAGCGAGCGAGCGAGTTAGCCAGTTAGCGAGCGAGTTAGCCAGTTAGCGAGCGAGTTAGCCAGTTAGCGAGCGAGTTAGCCAGTTAGCGAGCGAGTTAGCCAGTTAGCGAGCGAGTTAGCCAGTTAGCGAGCGAGTTAGCCAGTTAGCGAGCGAGCGAGTTAGCCAGTTAGCGAGCGAGTTAGCCAGTTAGCGAGCGAGCGAGTTAGCCAGTTAGCGAGCGAGTTAGCCAGTTAGCGAGCGAGCGAGTTAGCCAGTTAGCGAGCGAGTTAGCCAGTTAGCGAGTGAGTTAGCCAGTTAGTGAGCGAGTTAGCAAGTTAGCGAGCGAGCGAGTTAGCCAGTTAGCGAGCGAGTTAGCCAGTTAGCGAGCGAGTTAGCCAGTTAGCGAGCGAGTTAGCCAGTTAGCGAGCGAGTTAGCCAGTTAGCGAGCGAGCGAGTTAGCCAGTTAGCGAGCGAGTTAGCCAGTTAGCGAGCGAGTTAGCCAGTGAGCGAGGTAGTGAGCAAAGTAGCGAGCGAGGTGGCGAGCGGGCGGGCGAGTTGGCCGGCGAGTTGGAGGGCGAGTTAGCGGGAGGGCGGGCGAGTTAACGAGTTGGCGAGTTGCCGAGCGGGCGGGCGAGTTAGCGAGTTTGTAAGTGGGCGAGTTAGCGAGTTGGCGAGCGAGCGGGCGGGTGAGTTGGCGAGTTGGCGAGCGAGTGGGCGAGTTAGTGAGTTAGCGGGCGAGTTAGTGAGTTAGCGGGCGAGTTAGTGAGTTAGCGAACGAGCGAGCGAGTTGGCGAGTTGGCGAGCGAGTTGGCGAGTTAGCCAGTGAGCGGGCGAGTTAGCGAACGAGCGAGCGAGTTGGCGAGTTGTCGAGCGATCCTCCGTCATGCTCACCCTTGTGCAGTCCGTGAGCCACCGCGCTGGGTGGCACGGGGGGAGGGCTGTACCCTCCGTGGCCCCCACCCTGACCCAGGGACCCCCCTCCGAGACCCCCGAAGATCGCCCCGGCGATGGCTGCACCCCCAACCTCCGAATCGGAATCGGAGCTCAGCTCCAACGCCCGATCCTCGATGTCTGGAGTGAGGATGTGGTGGTGAGGGTGGTGGTGGTGAGGGTGGTGGTGAGGGTGGTGGTGGTGAGGGTGGTGGTGGTGAGGGTGGTGGTGGTGGTGGTGAGGGTGCAGGAGGAGGGGAGGGGTGAGGGGGGCTCCGGAGAGGGGGCTCGGACCCCCCACGAAACCCCCTGGGTAGTTCACCTCGCTCAGCACGGCCAGAGCATCCGTGTACACCGTGAACTGGGGAGGGAGTGGGGTGGGTGGGGAGGGGGGGGTGCATGGGTGAGTACGGGTGAGCACACGTGTGGGTGAGCGGTCGGGTGAGTGACCGGTGGGGTGAATGAGTGAGTGAGTGACCCACTCATTCACCCACTGACTCGCCCACCCACCAACTCACTCACCCACTCACTAATTCACCCACCCATTCACTCATCCACCCAGCCACTAACTCACCCACCCACCCACCAACTCACTCACCCAATCAATCACCTACCCACTCAATCACCCACTCACCCACCTACCCACTCACCCACCCACTCACTCACCCACTCACCCACTCACCCACCCACTCACCCACCCACCCACTCACCCACTCACCCACCCACTCACCCACTCACCCACCCACTCACCCACCCACCCACTCACCCACTCACCCACCCACTCACCCACCTACCCACTCACCCACTCACCCACTCACCCACCCACTCACCCACTCACTCACTCACTCACCCACCCACCCACTCACCCACCCACCCACTCACCCACTCACCCACCCACCCACCCACTCACCTGCGTGTGAGCGGCATGGGTCCCGTGCAGGTAGAATCCTCCCTCCCCGTAGTGACCGCTCGCCCCGGCAGGCCCCACCGGCGTCCCCGCTGAGGCCCCCGGTGACTCCGAGCCCTGGGGCCCCCCCGGCACCCCCTGGGGGGCCCCCTGGTAGGGGGGCAACCCCGCCGAGTAGACGCTTGGGGGGCATTGCCCGGGGGCCATCGACTCGTCCGAGCTCAGCTGCTGCTGCTGCTGCTGCAGCTGCAGCAGCTCCTGCAGCTCTTGGCTTGATGCCCTCTGTAGCTCGGTGAGGTGCTGCTGGTGGTGCTGTTGGTGCTGCTGGTGGTGGTGGTGCTGCTGGTGGTGCTGGTGGTGGTGGTGGTGGGCAGGCTGCACGGACGGGCCGCCGGCCTGCACGTAGAAGTGGCCTGGCGGTAGGGCCAGGCGTGGGCACGGATCGTAGATGCAGGGGACGTCTGTCGGGGGGGTGGGTGTGGGGGGGGGAGGGTGGGTGGGTGAGTGGGTGGGTTGGTGGGTAGGTGGGTGAGTTGGTTGGTGGGTGGGGGAGTGGGTTGGTTGGTGAGTGGGTGGGTGAGTGGGTTGGTGGGTGGGTGAGTGGGTTGGTGGGGGAGTGAGTGGGTGGGTGAGTGAGTGAGTGGGTTGGTAGGTGGGGAAGTGGGTGGGTGGGTAGGTGAGTGAGTGAGTGGGTTGGTGGATGGGGAGTGGGTTGGTGGGTGTTTGGGTGAGTGGGTCGTTGGGTGATTGGGTTGGTGAGTGGGTGGGTGGGTGAGTGGGTGGGTGAGTGGGTTGGTGAGTGAGTGGGTTGGTGAGTGAGTGAGTGGGTGGGTGAGTGAGTGGATGGGTGAATGGGTGGGTGGGTGAGTGGGTGGGTGAGTGGGTGGGTGGGTGGGTGAGTGGGTGGGTGAGTGGGTGGGTGGGTGAGTGGGTTGGTGGGTGGGTGAGTAGGTTGGTGGGGGAGTGAGTGGGTGGGTGAGTGAGTGGGTTGGTGGGTGGGGAAGTGGGTGGGTGGGTAGGTGAGTGGGTTGGTGGGAGAGTGAGTGGGTGGGTGAGTGTGTGAGTGGGTTGGTGGGTGGGGAGTGGGTTGGTGGGTGTTTGGGTGAGTGGGTCGTTGGGTGAGTGGGTTGGTGAGTGGGTGGGTGGGTGAGTGGGTGGGTGAGTGGGTTGGTGGGTGAGTGGGTTGGTGAGTTAGTGGGTTGGTGAGTGAGTGAGTAGGTGGGTGAGTGGGTTGGTGGGTGAGTGGGTTGGTGGGTGAGTGAGTGAGTTGGTGGTTGGGTGGGTGGGTGAGTGAGTAGGTCGGTGGGCAGGTGAGTGGGTGGGTTGGTGAGTGGGTAGGTGGGTGGGTGGGTGGGGGGTGAGTGAGTGGGTGGGTGAGTGGGTTGGTGGGTGAGTAGGTTGGTGGGTGAGTGGGTTGGTGAGTGAGTGAGTGGGTGGGTGTGTGAGTGGGTTGGTGAGTGAGTGGGTTGGTGGTTGGGTGGGTGGGTGAGTAGGTCGGTGGGCAGGTGAGTGGGTGGATTGGTGAGTGGGTAGGTGGGCGTGTGGGTGAGTGAGTGGGTGGGTGAGTGAGTGGGTAGGTGAATGGATGGTTGGGTTGGTGAGTGGGTGGGTGGGTGGGCGAGTAGGTAGGTGGGTGAGTGGTTGGTGGGTGAGTGGGTTGGTGGGTGCGTGGGTGGTAGGTAGGTGAGTGGTTGGTGGGTGAGTGGGTTGGTGGGTGCGTGGGTGGTAGGTGGGTGAGTGGTTGGTGGGTGAGTGGGTTGGTGGGTGCGTGGGTGGTAGGGTAGGTGAGTGGTTGAGTGGGTGGGTTGGTGGTTTATTGGTTTGGTGGGTGAGTGGGTGGTTGGGTGGGTGAGTTTGTGAGTGGGTGGATTGGTGGGTGCGTGGGTTGATGGGTGAGTGGTTGATGGGTGGGTGGTTCAGTGGGTGAGTGGGTGGGTGGGTGAGTGGTTGAGTGGGGGAGTGAGTCCACGTTTCGCAAGCGTACAGAAGGGAGGGAATGACCGTGGCTGAGAAGACCTGAAGCTTCGTGCGGAGCGACAGACCAGGCAGATTCCACACAGCGTTACGCAACCAATGAAAATATAATGCCGCTCGACTGATTTAGCGTGAGTGAGTGGGTGGGTGAGTAGGTGAGTGGGAGGGTGGGTGAGTGGGTTGGTGGGTGGGTGAGTGGGTGGGTTGGTGAGTGGGTTGGTGGGTAAGTGAGTGGGTGGTTAGGTGGTTGGTTGGGTAGTTGGTTGGGTGAGTGGTTGGGTGAGTGGGTGGGTGGGTGGGTGAGTGCGTTGGTGATTGAGTGGGTGAGTGGGTTTGGTTGAGTGGGTGGGTGGGTGAGTGCGTTGGTGAGTGAGTGGGTGGTTGGGTGGGTGAGTGGGTGGGTGAGTAGGTGGGTGGGTGAATGGGTGGTTGGGTTGGTGAGTGGGTTGGTGGGTGAGTGGGTTGGTGGGTGAGTGCGTTGGTGGGTAGGTGGGTGGGTGAGTGGGTTTGTGGGTGGGTGAGTGGGTGGGTGGTTGGGCGAGTGAGTGAGTGGGTGGGTGGGTGAGAGGGTGAGTGGGTGGGTGGGTGAGAGGGTAAGTGGGTGGGTGGGTGAGAGGGTGAGTGGGTGGGTGGGTGACAGGTTGAGTGGGTGGGTGGGCGAGTGGGTCGATGGGCAGGTGAGTGTGTGGGTGCGTGAGTGGGTTGGTGGGTGAATGAGTGGGTAGTTGGGTAGTTGGGTGGGTAGTTGGGTGGGTGAGTGGGTGGGTGAGTGGTGGGTGGGTAGGTGAGTGGGTTAGTGAGTGAGTGAGTGGGTGGTTGGTGGGTGGGTGTGTAGGTGAATGGGTGGTTGGGTGGGTGGGCGAGTGGGTCAGTGAGCAGGTGAGTAGATGGGTTGGTGAGTGGGTAGGTGGGTGGTTGGCTGGTTGGGTGGGTGAGGGAGTGGGTAGGTGAATGGGTAGTTGGGTTGGTGAGTGGGTGGGTGGGTGAGTTGGTGGGTGGGTGGGTGAGTGGTGGGTGGGTGAGTGGGTGGGTGAGTGGGAGAGTGGTTGAGTGGGGTAGTGAGTCCACGTTTCGCAAGCGTAGAGAAGGGAGGGAATGACCGTGGCCGAGAAGACCTGAAGCCTCGTGCGGAGCGACAGACCAGGTAGCTTCCACACAGCGTTACGCAACCAATGAAAAGATATTGCCGCTCGACTGATTCGGAGTGAGACCTCTGCTGTTAAACTGGAGCCGGTCATGAGCACACTGCCCAGGTATGGGAAACTCTCCACTCTCTCCACAACTGCCCTATCACAGATTGGGAGTTGTGGGGGTGGAGTGTCCGATGGTACAAAATACCCAGGCAGGTGCTTAGTTTTGGTGGGGCTGATGGTAAGGCCCCACCTCTTAGTGGCAGGCTCCAGTCTCAGCAGCAGCGTCTCCAACTCCTCCTCTGAATGAGCAGCTATTACCAAATCATCAGCATACATAACGTGGTTGAGCAATAGGGAGCCATCCCTTGACCGCACCCGGGCATCGATCAGCCTCCCATTATATCTGTACCAGATGGAAATTCCTCCGGTACAGCTGTTGAAGGCTTCACGAACTCTGTCGTCAAAATAGATGTTAAATAATGTGGGAGCCAGAGGACATTCCTGTCGCACCCCAAGGTGTACAGGGAACGGCTCTGACTCCCGGCCACGTAGTTTTACCCGGCCCACTCACCATCATGAAGGTTCTTAATGATCGTGAGCAGGGGGTCAGGGACTCCAAAAGCACGAAGATCAACCCAGAGCCCAGGCCTACTGATGGTATCATAGGCCTTGACCAGGTCAATACAGTAGAGATGTAGGTCTTGTTGGAATTCCCTACACCTCTGCTGTAGCAGACGGACAGAAAATATGGCATCTGTGCAGGACCGCCCTTTCCTGAAACCGCATTGGGGCTCCGCAAGCCTCTCCTCAGCGTGCCTGGCAAGGCGATGCTGAATAATCCTTGCCAGGACCTTTCCCAACACACTGAGGAGTGAGATGCCCCTGTAGTTGTTACAGTCTGTGCGGTCCCCCTTCTTAAAGAGGGGGACCACCAGGCCTCCTTCCAATCCTGCGGAACCCGTCCAGTGGTCACCCACTCACTCACCAACCAAACAACTCACTCACTCAACCACCCACCAACTCACGCACGCACGTATCCACTCACCCACCTACTCACCCACACACTCACCAACCCACTCACTCACTCAACCACCCACCAACTCACACACCCACCAACACACTCACCAACACACTCACCGACCCACTCACTCAAACACCCACTAACTCACCCACTCGGCCACCGACTCACCCACCCATTCACCAACCCACTCACTCACTCAAGAACCCACCAACTCTGCTACCCACACACTCACCAATACACTCACCGACCCACTCACTCACTCAACCACCCACCAACCCACCCACTAACCTACCCACTAACCTACTCACCCACTCACTCATCCACACACTCACCCACACGCTCACCCACACACTCACCCACCCACTCACTCACTCACACATTCTCTAACACATTTTCTCACTCATCCAGTCACTCACCCACCCACCCACTCACCCACACACTCACTCACTCACACACTCACTCACTCAAACAGTCTCTCACTCACCCACCCACCCACTCACCCACCCACACACTCACCCACTCGCCCACTCACCCACCCAGCCACTCACCCACACACTCACTCACACATTCTCTCACTCACTCATCCACTCACTCATCCACTCACTCACCCACCCACTCATCCACACACTCACCCATTCACTCACCCACCCACCCACTCACCCACCCACTCACCCACACACTCACCCACGATGTAATTTGCATAGCCTATAGAGAAGTGAAATGCAGAACCGGATGGTTCACGGTGCCCATGTCTGGTTTAGGCAAAGACAAAGCTCCCCTGGGTAGCCCACATATGGCTCTTGGGGCAAGTGCTGTTAGCGAGGAACTGAACCCACTCCGTTACTCACCCACTCACCCACCGACTCACTCACCCACCTACTCAACCACTCTCAAACTCACCCACCCACACTCCAACTCTCAAACTCACCAACTGACCCACACACCTAATCTCAAATTCACCCAATAATTAACTCACTCACTCACCCACCCACTCACCAACTCACTCACCCAATCTCTAACTCACCAACTCACCCACACAACTACTATCTAATTCACCCGATCACCCACTCACCCACATACTATCTAACTCACCCACCCACCCACTCACTCACCTACTCACCCACCCACCCGCTCACCCACATACTATCTAACTCACCCACCCACCCACTCACTCACCTACTCACCCACTCTCAAACTCACCCACTCACACTCCCACTCTCAAACTCACCAACTCACCCACATACCCACTATCTAACTCACCCACCCACACACCTAATCTCAAATTCACCCATTAATTAACTCACTCACCCACCCACTCACCAACTCACCCACC